GGGGGGGGTATGGGATCTCGGTTATGGGTCTGTACTTCTAAGGGGTTTTTCAATTTGTTTTTCTCTGTTATTTACTATACTCAGAGCCGTGCCCTCATGGCGGTGAGCGCTTACGACTATGTTCTGGATCATAAAACTTTAATAAAAAGACTTTATAGCATACACTCATGACCTCCCTTATGTAGATACCAGCAATGTTGATTACTTATCCGATGACCATAACGAGTCCAAATGCGATATTATGGTGATGTCATGGTATCAAGGGGTGCCAATACTCAACGCGTTTTGCAGCCAATGTAGGGGCTTCTGCAGGAGGAAGGGAGAGGATGCTCTGCTACGTTGGTGTGACCACTTGCAGGAAGAAAAAGCCTTTGTAAAAGCCAGAGGGATAATACCCCGCCAATATCAGCTGTTGTCACCAGCTAGGCGGCCATTTGGAGGGGAGAGCTAAAGTACAAAGGGTTTTTTTTTTTGCCTTTGGGTACTGCTGTAGTCTCCACAGAAGCTAGTTGGCAGTATCTAAATACATAGAAATCACGGTCACATACTTCAACACTGACGATCAGATGCACTGCCAAACAGGAAGCTCTTAGCAGCAAATAACAGGAAAGTAAAGTATGACCCGAAACAATCAGATTGTGCTCATGTTTATAGAGCAGGTTGGAGCAAGAAGCAAATTGATTGGTTGCCAAGAGTAAAATTAACTTCCATTACAAAAAAAAAAAAAGCTCAGTGTCACTACAAAAAAATGAAGGCTGCCATGCTGGCCTTACTTCTGAAAATGCTAGTTACCTTATCTGTCATGCTTATTCATTGACTTTACTACCATCTGAGTGACTGACCTATGCAAACGGACTGTGCACTGACTTCAGAGGTTGTATACTTGTTCCAGGTCAGGGACTCAGAATATACTAAAGCTAGAGACAACCAGGCGACTAGCATTTAGGATGGTGGTCAGCAATGGCAGCCCGCATAGCTTTCGCAGAACAGGTGTTCCTTTAGCTGATGTGATCAGTAAAGCTTTGACTTACCACACTGTACAATGCTTCGAAACTGCAGATCACAAGCCGGTCCTATACCATGGACCATAAACACCAGATGATCGCTCTGGGCTGGCTCACCTAGAAAAACAAATGTAGATGAAGAATAGGTTATGCTCAGGATACAATGCTAGTGAAAAGGAAATCATGTAGGGAAACAAAACCAGGTACATTGGGAGGCAGAGACAGGAACAACTAGTATTAGTTCACTGTATACAGTGGTACCTCGGTTGATGAACTTAATTCGTTCCACAATTCTGGTCGCAAAGCGAATTGGTCGCGCACTGAATCAAACTGTGATCAGAACGCGATCTGGACTAGAGGAAACCACGACCACGTGTCAGAGCAGGGGAAGATAGCTGCGGTTGTGTTCGTCACCCGATGCAGAGTTTGCGAACGGAAGCAAAATTTTGCTGAACTTCCTGTTCGCGAACCGAATTGTTTGCGAACAGAAGCATTCGTGAACCGATGTACCACTGTACTGTACTTGTGAATGTCTCCCGCTAGTGGTAAGAAGTAGAACTGCACCAGTTTAATACATCTTAGGTGAGTGAAAAGCACTCACCTCTTAGTTCTCCTTTAAGCAAAGTATACGTTTGCAAATCGGTAGAGTTTGCAAACCCGCTCAAAACTCCGACCACCACCCCCTCTTCCTGAGCCAGATAGCATCAGCAGCTGCAGCGAGGGCATTTCCTCCCCTTTGTGACATATAGCTGTGGGGCCGGGAATGCTCCTGCCCACAACTGTTTGACCACCACCCTTTCCTCTTCATCCAGTTTTGAGCAGGCTTGGGTAAAGTCAGGCAATCTGGGTTCGCACCAAGCCCAGCCTCATGACTACGGAGAAGTAAAGCACAGTTGTATTTTTATTTAAGAGGCACCTGATGTATTTGTATTGAAGGGGCACCTGTACCAGCCTGTATAATGTCCAATATATACAAGAAACATTTCTGGATAAGGGTTCATTCAGACCTCTGTACAGCGTGCACACCCGGTAAAATGACCCAATCTCGGAATGAGCCCTTAATTACTAGGGATACTCCGATACCGATTTTTCAGTATCAAGTACCGATATTGGTGCTTCCCCTAACATAGAGCCGGGCAATCAGGAAGCCGTGCGGTGGGTAATGACATGCTGTCCGGCTTCCTGATTGCCCGGGAAGTCGGCTCC